GTAATGATGTTTACTTTGAATTTATATTAGTTCACACAAACACTCCATCCATGCTTTTGTTCCGGCCCTCCGGTCCAGTTTAAGAACCCATTGTGGCCCTTGAGTCAAAAAGTTTGCCCACCCCTGCTCTATCCACTGACCCAAACCGGCTATGGCAATACTAAATGTTTTGAATCATATGGGCATAACCACATGACCCAACAATTCCACTCTTAGGTATATACTCAAAATAAATGAAAACATAAAAACTTACACACAGACCAGATCCAAGATGGCGGCCAGCAGGAGGCTGATGAAGGAGCTTAAAAAAACCTGAAAATTTGGAATGAAAACCTCTGTAACATCCAGGTTGATGAAGCTAATTTGTTGACTTGGCAAAGGCTTATTGTCCCTGACAACCTCCATCGGATTAGGGGGCCTTCAGAATGGAAATCAACTTCCCAGCAGAATACCCATTCAAACCACCGAAGACCACATTTAAAACAAAGATCTATCACCCCAGCATCAATGAAAAGAGGCAGGTCTGTCTGCCAGGAATTAGTGCTGAAAATAGGAAGCCAGCAACCAAAACTGACCAAGTAAGTAATCCAGTCTCTCATAGCATGAACGACCCCCCAGCCTGAGCACCTGCTTCGGGCTGACCTAGCTGAAGAATACTCCAAGGACCGTACCAGCTTCTGTAAGAATGCTGGAGTTTACAAAGAAATATGGGGGAAAGCGACCTGTGGACTAAAACCTGCTGCGATTAATTCCAGCGAGTGTGAGCAGAGACCCTGAGCTGTGCATTCAGACACCCCTCGAAGCAGGGCTCTGGAAAATTGGCACTGGCCACCGCCTGGCATTTGCTTGTGGCAGTTACTAACTTTCTACAGTTTTCTTTCTTTTTTTTCTTTTTTTAAAGATACTCTTTCTTTTTAAAAAAATATATTTTATTGATTTCAGAGAGGAAGGGAGAGAGACAGAGAGATAAAAACATCAATGATGAGAATCATTGATCATCTGCCTCCTGCACGGCCCCCACTGGGGATGGAGCCCACAACCCAGGCAGGTGCCCTTGACTGGAATTGAACCTGGGACCCTTTTCCCACAGGCCAATGCTCTATCCACTGAGTCAAACCAGCCAGGGCTAGACCTTAAGGTTTAAAATAAAAGGTTGTGGTTCCCTTTCTTCCCATGCCCTTTCAACACCCACTTTCTTGTATTCAGTTTATTTCTCACTCTTCCACTTTCCCAGACCTAGACCCTATCTCCTCCACAAAGGAGAAGAGATAGCTCTGTTTGGTCTGGTGGCTTCTCTTCTCCCATGTTGCACTGCCCAGTGTGGGAGTTCATTCAAGTTACTCGGATTCTAATTTATAACATCCTTTTTTAAAAATTTTAAAAACAAGCAAACCACCACCACCAAAAAAAACCAAAAAAAAACTGTGAAAAGGGAGGCCCACCTTTTATGTAAAAATCTGGCCAATGTTACCACAATAACACTGCTTAAATGGCAACCCTGATCCCTGTGTGAGGCCCGCCTGCTGGGGGAGACCCTGCAATATCAGGTCTGTGGCCACCCAGGGGGAGGGGGCAGCCAGCCAGAGGACACTGCACTTGTTCCAGAAACTTCTCATCAGTTAGAGGCCCCTGAGGTCAAAGTTTTACGCCCCTCCTTGCAGCTATTTCAGAAGATGTGCTGGTCGTTACAGGCAACACTAAACCCAGAATGTCCATTTGAAATTCCACACTCACCGGTCAGCAAGCTCCATCCGAATGTGCTCATTCTCCACCTCCTCAGAGCAGCAGCCCCACCCCAGCCCTCATCAGCACGGTTTGACCCTTTGCAGGGTTGGTATTGGCAGGACTCAGCTAGAGCCAGAACCAGTCCGGGGTCACCGATGCCCTGCTGGCCTCTTCCTTCGAAGCAGCCGGCCAGGCCAGCCCAGGAACAAGATGGCCTTTCTCCCTCTGGATGCACAGCCTTTGCAGAGTCAAGCTCCACTTGGAGCTCACTCAGTAATGTCCTTTACCTGTGTTTTACATTGTTTTCACTGCCTTTTTTTGTAGAAATAAAAATTCACCTTAGAATTAAAAAAACAACACAAACTTATACACATGCAAAAACTTGTTCACAAAGCATCTATCCTATCTAATAATAGACAAACATGGTAATTGATCGTACCTTCGCTACACCTCCCATTGGCTAATCACCATGATATGCAAATTAAATGCCAACAAAGATGGCGGTTAATTTGCATACATAGGCTCCAAGCAGTGGAGCGAAGCCTGACGGCCCGGGGCCGGTGGAGCAGCGAGGCCTGACGTTTCCGGGGCCGGCTCCGGCCAGAACTCGGCCAGAGTGAAGGCCTGGGCCCCGGGTGCCAGAGGCAAACCAGTGCCAGCAGCCAGGGGAAAGGAAGGCCTATTGCACGAATCTCTTTGTGCAACAGGCCTCTAGTATATGTATAAAAGTCTAAGCAACCATTATGACTGAACGACTGGTCAACCGGTCAGTATGACATGCACTGACCACCAGGGGGCAGATGCTCAAAGCAGGAGCTGCCCCCTGGTGGTCAGTGCACTCCCACAGCGGGAGCACCACTCAGCCAGAAGCCGGGCTCACAGCTGGGAGTGCAGCTGCGGTGGTGGCAGGAGCCTCTCCCGCCTCCCTCCGTGGCAGTGCTGCTGGCAGTAGTGGCAGGTGGCGGCGGCGGCAGCAGCAGCAGCAGCAGCAGCAGCAGCTGGCACAGCGGGCTGGCTGCCACTTCGGCACTGCTACATCCCTCGGGGATCGGTCCAAAACCCAGCAGTCTGACATCCCCCAAGGGGTCCCAGATTGCAAGAGAACACAGGCCAGGCTGAGGGACCCCACCCGTGCGTGAATCCGTACACTGGTCCTCTCATTATTTACAATTGCCCAAAAGCAGAAACAACCCACATGTCCATCAACTGATGAATGGAATATTATTCAGCTTTAATAAGAAATGAGTAGTGACACATGCTTTGACATGGGTGAACCTTGAAAACATTTTGGCAAGAAGCCGTCATATAGGACCACATATTGTATGTATGATTCCATTCATTTCAAATGTTCAAAAAAGGAAAATCCATAAAAACAGAAATAGATTGGTGATTGTCAGGGCCTGGGAGGTAGGAAAGAAATGGGATTCGAGGTTTCTTTTTGAGGTGATACAAATGTCCTACAATTGAGTGTGGTTATGCTGTAGAGCTCTGTGAATATAAAAATTCATTGAGCCCTGGCCAGTGTGGCTCAGTTGGTTGATTGGTTGAGCATGGTCCTATGCACCAAAAGGTTGCCAGCTCAATCCCCAGTAGAGAGCATGCAGGAGGCAGCCAAACCAAGTTTATTCTTGCATCAATGTTTCTCTCTCTCCCTCTTCTTCCTCTCTCTAAAAATCAATAAAAAAATATATAAATGTTTAAAAAATCTCACTGAGCCTTGGGAGTGTGGCTCAGTTGTTTGGAGCATCATCCCATACACCAAAAGGTGTGGGTTCCATTTCCGGTCAGGGCACATGCCCAGGTTGCCAGTTCAATCTCTGGCTGCAGCATGTGCAAGACGCAACCAATCAATGTTTCTCTCTCACATTGATGTTTCTCTATCTCCCTCTCCCTTCTTCTCTAAAATCAATAAAAAGATATTTTAAAAAATAATGAAATTTTTAAAAAGTGATGTTATTAGAAATATGGAGGTAAGTATCAGTAGAAACTAAAAGGAGTCAGAACAGTTGTACAGGAGTGAGATTCGTAAGGGGGAGTGCAGGGCATTGCTATTTTTCATTTGCTTATACCATGGAATGCTATCTGAATTTTTAAAACTATTATTTTGAAAGAAAAATAAAATTTAAAAAACTTTTGCTACTGAAAACAATTACTTTAAGAAGTTTTTCAGGCCCAGCTAGTATTGCTCAGTGGTTGAGCACCTATGAACCAGCAAGTCACAGTTTGATTTCCGGTCAGGCACATGCCCAGGTTTCAGGCTCAGTCTCCAATATGGGGCGTGCAGGAGGCAGCCAATCAATGATTCTCTCTCATCATTGATGTTTCTCTCTCTCTCTCTCTCTCCCTCTCCCTTCTTCTCTCTGAAATCAATACAAAACATTTTAAAAAGAAGTTATTTAGTATCAGCCCTCTGCGTTTGGAGGCCTGGGCACTCAGGACATTCACTTTCACATAAGTAATCTGGCAAGAGTCAGTCATCTGCCCTGTTTCGACTGGGGGACAAAAACATTGTCGCATGAGCCTAAGACAGGGTGAAATAAATTCTCACAGAAGGACGGAGGAGGAAATGTGAGAGTGTTACCGTAGACGGTCAGTCAGAGCGTCTGGGAGTCTCTCTCATTGGCCAAAAACTAGAAATATGAATGGACAGGTCCCCTCCCCAGCACTCCAAAAGCTAGAAAGATAGAAAAAGAAGCCTTCCCTATCCCTATAAGAACGGCAGGCTTGAACAGGAAGAGGAGTGATCTTTGAGCAGAAGGTGAGATTGGTTTCTGAGATGGGAGTCCACCATTCTCCCTGGTCGTATGGCTCCTGAATAAAACCTCTTTCTTGCCCTGGCCGGTGTTTCTCAGTGGTTAGAGCATCAAACTGTGCACCGAAGAGTCTCTGGTTCAATTCCTGGTCAAGGGCAGGTACCTAGGTTGCAAGTTCACCCTGATCAAGCTGTGTGCAGGAGACAACCAATTGATGTGTCTCTCTCACATAGATGTTTCTCTTCCTCTCCCCCTCCCATTCTTCCACTTTCTGAAAAGCAATAGAAAAAATATCCTTGGGTGAGGGTTAACAACAGCAAAACCTCTTTCCTTTTCACCAGCACCTACCTCACAAGTTTGACTTTCATTGCAGGAGGCAGCCGAACCTCCATTTTTATTTGGTTACAAGAGGGCTCTGTGGAGGAGTCTAGAGTGGGTGTTCCAGGAAGAGGGAACAAGAGAGGCAGAAAGGGGCAGGTCTAGCTGTGCTGGAGCCTGGGATAAGAAGGGGGTATAAAGAAGACAAAGTTGGCCCTTGGCCCGGAGACCCCGGCATGGTGCGCGCGGGCGTCGTGGGGACACATCTCCCCACGTCCGGCTTGGACATCTTTGGGGACTTGAGAAAGATGAACAAGCGCCAGCTGTATTACCAGGTCTTGAACTTCGCCATGATCGTGTCTTCTGCACTCATGATCTGGAAGGGCTTGATCGTCCTCACTGGCAGCGAGACCCCCATCGTGGTGGTGCTGAGTGGCAGCATGGAGCCAGCCTTTCACAGGGGTGACCTTCTGTTCCTGACAAACTTCCAGGAAGACCCTATTTGAGCTGGTGAAATCGTGGTTTTTAAGGTTGAAGGACGAGACATTCCAATAGTTCACAGAGTAATCAAAGTTCATGAAAAAGATAATGGAGACATCAAATTTCTGACTAAAGGAGATAATAATGAAATTGATGACAGAGGCTTGTACAAAGAAGGCCAGAACTGGCTGGAAAAGAAGGATGTGGGAAGAGCCAGAGGGTTTTTACCATATGTTGGTATGGTCACCATAATAATGAACAACTATCCAAAATTCAAGTACAGTGGGGCCTTGACTTACGAGTTTAATTCGTTCCGAGACCCAGCTCGTTAAGGAGCTCGTTAACTCAAATTACTGTCAACTCAATGCAAAAAATCGGCCAAGAGACAGCTGGTATCTCAAAAAACTCGTTAGTCGGGACACTCGTAAGTCAAGGCCCCACTGTATGCTCTTTTGGCTGTAATGGGCGCATATGTGTTACTAAAACGTGAATCCTAAAGTGAGAAGCAGTTCCTGGGACGAAGATTGAAATGAATTCTATTGAAAAAGAGAAAAACTAATATATTTGAAATGTTCCACTTTCTGATACAAGGGAAACAATGCGGAGACGTTTGTGTCTTGTCCAAATAAATGAAAAAAAAAAAAAAAAAGAAGAAGAAGACAAAGTTGGCCTTAGCTGGTTTGGCTCAGTGGATAAAGCGTTGGCCTGCAGACTGAAGGGTCTTGGGTTTGATTCCAGTCAGGACACATGCCCGGGTTGCAGGCTCAATCCCCAGTAGGGGGTGTGCAGGAGGCAGTGGATCAGTGATTCTCTCTCATCATTGATGTTTCTGTATCTCTCTCACTCTCCCTTCCTCTCTGACATCAATAAAAATAAAAATAAAATAAAATAAAAACAGGAGACAAAGTTGGAAATTTGGGCTGGGCTGAGTTCATGACATCTGGAACAAGAGGAGTCTTGTTGAGCCCCCTTGTATCCCAACTAAATTTGTTGTGATTCCTTTGTAGTCCAGTTTCAATTTCCTCCCTTGGGCCATCTGCTGAGACTGGAGAGCTCTAAATAGCCCTTCTAAACCCTTTTCAGCAAATAGTTATTGAACATCTGCTATGTACTAAGTGTGACACTCAGTGCTGGGGATATATGGGCTCCCCATGGTCCCAGCTCCCAGAGAACCTACTGCAGTCATCGATAAGGATTACAAAGTACAAGGACCTGTGGGACCACATAACAGGAGGCCTTGCTCAAATCTAGGGGTCAAGACAGGCTTCCTGGAGGAAGTGATAGAGAAACTCCTCCCGGTCTCGGCATCAGGACCAGCTGGGTATCTGTGAGCTCCAGCTGGGCTCTAGTTGGGAGCAGAGAGAAGACAAGCTGCTCAGCCTCAGGCCTGGGAGGGGCGGGTTCCGTGACTGCAATGAGGCATCAAGCCACCCGGGTGGGTCTGGAAGGGGTGGCAGATGTGTCAAAGGCACTAACACTTCCCCCAACTCCTCCGGCTTCGTGGCGCCCGAACCTTTGTTAATTTTAGCCCCTTTGGGGGCTCCTCCACAGCGCTGGTCTCCCCGGGACCCACCAGGTGCCAGGGCAGTGTGATACCCAGACCCTCAATCAGGAGTACCCAGCTCGCCTTCCCCCGCTCCTGCTACTCTCCTGGAAAATGGCTGCCAAAGGCTAGAAGCTGCATTTCAGCAGGTCTGGGGTCCCAGATGCAGTGACACCTGCAGTTTTGACCTTGAACCCCTCCTATGAATTTGTCCCTGGCTCAGTGACACTCCCAGGGACTAGGATGCCCCTGATGACTCCTCTGTCCTGCCCTTTGAGAGACCCTTGGTCTAGACACCTGTACACCACCCACCCAGATCACTCCTCATCTTTTCTGGGGCAGCAAAGACAGACAGCCCAAGGCCCCCACTCTCTAGCCTGGCTCAGGAGGGGGCTGTCCCCCTGGCACAGAACCAGGGAAGAACTGGCTCATTCCCTATTCCTTCATCACCACTGACCCGTCTCAGGCTAACTGGTGGAGACAGACCAGGAGAAAATGCTCTGGTGCTGTCAGACATCTGTGCTTCTGGGCACAGTGGGAGAAATGAAGAGCCAGCTGGGAAGTGGGGCGGAGCCATGAAGCCTTTAGGAAAAGGAGGCCTAGAGCTAAGTCACAACAGACACCTTAATTGGCCTTCCTTCCCCAGGCAGTCAGAGAAGAGGAAGGCATCACTGGCCCAGCCTGGAGAAGTGAAATGAGCTGCCCTGCTCTGGAACAGGCTGGAGCCTGGAGTGGGGGGAGGTAAGGGAGAAAGGAAACAAAGGCAGATGGAGGCCTCTCAGTCAGCTTCAAGCCTGTGAACTTTATTGTGAGGGCAATGTAGAGCCATGAGAGGCTTTCAGTAAAAGACAAGGAACTTCACCTCCCGGATCATCCTCCCCCAAACGCATAACCCAAATCTAATCATGAGAAAAATACCAGACAAGCCCAAATTTTAGGAATATATTATAAAATACCTAACCAGTGCTTCCAAAACTTTCAAGGTCAGCAAATACAAGTCTGAGAAACTGTCACACCAGAGGAAGCTAAAGAGATGTGACAACTAAACATAATGTGGTATCCTAAAGGGATTCTGAAACAGATAAAGGACATTAGAGAAAACTTATAATTAAAATCCATATCAAGTGTGGATAGCCCTAGCTGGTTCGGCTCAGTGGATAGAGCGTCAGCCTGCAGACTGAAGGGTCCCAGGTTCAATTCCAGTCAAGGGCACATGCCTGAGTTGCAGGCTCGATCCCCAGTAGGGGGCGTGCTGGAGGCAGCTGATCAATCATTCTCTCTCATCGTTGATGTCTCTCTCCCTCCCTCCCTCTCCCTTCCTCTTTGAAATTTAAAAAAAAAAAGTGTGGATAGTTAATAGCAACATATCATATATCCATACAATAGATTATTCAACAACAAAAAAATACTGCTACATGTTAGAATCTTGAAAACATGCCAAGTGCAAGCAGCAGACACAAAAGACCACATATTGTAAAACTCCATTTGTATGAAAGTCCAGAATAGGCAAATCTACAGAAGTAAATCAGTGGTTGCCAAAGACTGAAGGGTGGGGGGGGGAATGGGGTGTGATGGGAACTGCTAATGGGTGGGGTGGCTCTTAGGGTAGGAAAGAATGTTCCAAAATTAGATTGTAGTGATGCTTGCACAACACCATGAATATACTAAAAACCACCAAATTGTTCGCTTTAAATGGGTGGATAGCTCAATAACTTAAAAATAGTAACGTTGTTGGTTGGTTAGTTGTAACAAATGTACCACTGAGATGTTAATAGGGGAAACGGTGAACTCTCTGTACTACTCTTGTAAATTTTTTGTAAATATACAAACTACTGTAAAATATAAGAAGCTTATTTAAAAATTTACACAGCCCAGTGTGGCTCAGTGGTTGAGCGTTGACCTAGGAACCAGATCAGGGTACATGTCCTGGTTGCAGGGTCAGCTCCCAGTAGGGGGCGTGCGGGAGGCAGCCAATCAATGATTCTCTAAAATCAATAAAAACATTTTTTTTAAAAATTCAGACACATATACAAGTTTGTTTTTAAAGCAAGTGTGTTAAGGGCTTGAAAGAGGCATGGCCACAGAAGACTTAGGGATATTCATGAGGGGGAGAGGCATTCAGCTGGATGGGGTGTGGGTTGGTTTCCTATTGGGGCTTTAACAAATTACCACAAACTCAATGGCTTAAAACAACACATTTTATTCTCTTAGAGGTCTAGCGGTCAGAAATTTAAAATTATTTTCACTGGGCTAACTCCTGTCAATAGAGCTGCATTTCTTTGTTTTCCTGCCTTTTCCAGCTTCCACAGGCCACTGCATTGCTGACACATGGCCCTTCCATCTTCAAAGTCAGCAGCAGTGTAACATCTTCTCCTCCCTCACTTTGACCCTCCTGACGCCCTTTCCCTTCATGGGACCCTTGATTACACTGGGCCCATCTCAATTATCCATGATAATCTCATCTCAAAGTCAATCATTTCTGCAGTCCCTTTTGCTACGTAAGGTCACATATGCACAGGTTCTGAGATTGAGGATGTGGACACCTTTGGGGGCAATTATCCTGCCCACACAGGGGGTCACCAGGGAGGTGAACACAGGAACAGGCAGTGAGGGGAAGGGAGGTCAGCTGAGCAGGTGGAGCCTACGGTGCCGGGGGGACATCCAGGGGAGTTGTCCATCGGCTTCCTCCCATCTCGTCACCAAACACTAAGCACCTCCCACGAGTTAGTCACGGGGATATAAAGGTGAGCACTCTTTTCACTTCTGAACATTTCTGAAATCACGATGCACTTTTTAATCGATGACGTCTTACAACTGCAATGGGTAGGGTTTCCTTTTTTAATGACACGAAGTAAACCATTTTACAACCAAAGGCACCTTGGAGTCAATGAAAACGAGGTCTGGCTGAGCACTAGAGTGGGTGTGATGATTACAGAAACTGCAGGCCTCACTAGAACATCAGGTATCCCCTGGTTCTGGCCTGGCCCCTTCCACCCCCCAGGTGTCCCATGGCTCCGGTGCTCAGCTCCCCAGTAACTAACAAACTCCACCAGAGCCCTGGCCACACACATGCCCAGCTAGGCTCCCACAGCAGGTCCAGGGACCGATCCCGCCCCAGGTGTAACCTGTCTTGGGAGTCAGGCTGTTCACCTGGCCGCACATTGAAAAGACCCAGCCTCCAGGCCATTACCTAGATGAGTGGTTCTCAACCTTGGCTGCACATTAGAATCCCCTGGGAATCTTTTTAAAATCTGATTTCTGGGCCTCATCAGGATTTTAAAAAGATTCCCGGGGATTCTAATGTGCAGCCAAGGTTGAGAACCACTGACCTAGATCAACTCATTCAATTCTCTGAGAAGTAATTTTACAGCTCCCCATGAGATCCCAACGGCCAGCCAAGGTGAAAAGGGGAGGAATCAACCTAACTCGGTGCAAGTGAGGAGACTAAGGCAGCACTAAAGGGATGGGGGGGCTGGGGAATGTTCAGGTCTCACTATAGAATTATACCTGTCTGAGACATGGTATAATTCCACCCCACTCCCTCACCCCCTAACTCTGAATTCCTGGAAGGGGACCAGCTCAGTTATCTTAGTCCCCTCAAGGCACTAGCCCTGTGCCAGGCACACTGTGGGAGCCCAGAAAATATACGCTTCAGGGTCTCAAATGCCAGGCAGAAAAGACCTGGTACCAAGAAAGGTCTGGGAAAGGAGCCCCTTGGGTCTGGGCCAAGCCTCTGATTTGCTGTGTAACCGCCAGTGAGGCACCGCCCCTCTCAGCGCTTGTTCAATGGACAGTTGAAGGGTCCTTCAAGTGCCAACGCTGAGTCTGCACTTCACCTAAGGAGCTTGAGACAGTGGGAGCCAGTGAATACCAGGCTTCCTGCTCACACCCAACAGATGTCCTAGCCCTTCAAGGCCTGAAATCTCCCCTTCTGGGGCTCTATCCTATACTAGCTGCAAGGACAGAGACTCTGAGGTCCTAACAGCCAACGACCTAAGAACAGCGAAACAGGAACTCCCATCCTGGAGAATGAAATGGGAGTAAAGGGGTTTTCAGATGGTGAGCAGAGTCCAGGTGGGGAGGCCACAGGACACCTGACAGCCCTGGCTCTGCCCCTAGGAGTGGTAAACAAAAACCAGAAACTCTCAAAGAGAAACTTCTGAGGAAACACTCAAGGACAGAGGCAAATCCAAAGGGGCTGTGGAGGTCCCTGGCTTCTGGCCATCAGGACAGTCAAGGGCCTAATACACAACTATAGACTTTTATTGGGAAAGGAAACTGACTGAAAGTGGCCCCCAATATCCTCACTGCCTGAGGCAACTGGGGCCTCCTCCAGAGAGTCCAGGAAAGAAAGAGTCACTAAACTGGCCCTCAGAAGGCTCAGGTGTAGAGGTCAAAGTCAATACGTTTTGAGTTGTAGAACTGTCCACCAGGGGGGTCCAGCTTCCGGCAATAAACACCGTCAGGGAAGTAGCCTTCATTCACCCAAGTCTGCAGGAAGAGAGGGCAGAACTGGAGGAGGACTGAGTGAGGGCTGGGAGGGGAGAGACGAGGCAGATGGGGCTTACCTGCATCTGGCTGCTGGAGAAGGGCCCGTAGAGCTCAGCATCACCTGTGTTCTCCCACTTATACTCCCACATCACATCCAGCAGACCATCTCCTGGTGACTCTGGTTCTAAAACAGCAAGCAAAGCCATTTGGGCTTCAAGTGTCCTGCCCCTGCCCACAACACCCCACCTCTGCCCTGAAATCTCACCTCCTCTCTGGACAGGGGTTGGGGTCTCCAGCTCCCCTTCTGCTACTTCCTCAGCAAACATGTCCAGAGAAGGCTGGGGCGTGGGGTCAGGGGGTCCCTGGGTCCGGCACCCCAACCCCTTCAACTGCATGGCCAAGCGTTCTCTTGTTTCCTGATAAACACCAAGGTTGCCTCGAGCCACCATCTGGTCGGCCAAACTGCACAGCTGGTCCAAGCGCTGGGGGGAACTAGGCCGCCCAGGCCCCTTGCTACCCCCTTTGCCTGTTCCTCTGGCCCCCAGACGCCTCAGTGCCCCAGCCACTGTCTCTCTTGGCAGCAGGAGCTCCAGAAGGCCCTCCAGGAGGGCTTGGGGACTCATTGGTGTCTGGCCCAGGCTGTCCTCCTCCTCGGAGTCTGACGGTGAGCGCTGACCAGGTGGCCGCTCCCTAATCTTCACCTGCAATGTGAAAATGGGGGGGGGGGGGGCGCGTTATTTCCTACAAACTGCCAGCAGGGCCCAAGCACTTGCTGCCTCCAGGCCCCAGCCATGCCAGCCCCGGAGCCACACCCAGTCAATGTTGTCCAGCCAGCTGTCTCGGATCTGAGCATCCCGGTTCAGGAAGTAGTTGCCATCAGCATCAAAGTGGCCTTCCTCCATCTCTTCCTGAAGGTTGAAGGGTGTGATCCGCACACCTCCCTCACTGGGGAGTGTGGCTGCTTCCTGACCTGCACCAAAGACACAGGTGTCCATGCTGGCAGGCAAGAGACAGGAGCCTCCTTCGTCCACATTCCCAGAAGCCGGTTTGCTCCCCTAGCAGAGTCAGTTCTTGGGTATAACTCACCTTCCACATCCTCTGAGGCCAGGATGTCATATTTGCTGGACCCCTCATCATCATCATCCTCCTCATCGCTGTCCAAAGAGTGTTTGCCTTTGAAGCGGCTCCCAGGACCTCCTGCCCCAGCCACAGGGTCCACTAGCTGTGAGCAGGAATCAGACAGTCCACAGATGCAGGTTACTGGTTATTGAAGGGAACCAAAGTTTTGCCAACCTGAAGCTGCCTTTTTGGAATATTAATTTTAAGCTATTAAGAAACAAGACTCAGAAAGAACCTTTGGCCCTCCCCGCTTTCCTGCCCAATAGATTCAAACAAAAGAAACCTACTATAGCAGTGGTTCTCAACCTTGGCTGCACATTAGAATCACCTGGGAATCTTTTAAAAATCCTGATTTCTGGGCCTCATCCTCCGGAAATTCTGTTTCTTTAGGGGGGGTGGGGGCACAACATTGGTAACAAAGAAACAGATCCCCAGTGTGGGGTGTGCAGGAGGCAGCCGATCGATGATTCTCTCATATCATTGATGTTTCTATCTCCCTCTACCTCTCCCTTCCGCTCTGAAACCAATTTTTAAAAAATTGTTTTAAAATGTCCTATATACCTAATGTTGCCTCACTGAGTTTGGAATTTTCATGCTGATGTCAATTTCCCATGTGCATGTATTAAATTTGATTTTCCCCTGTTAATTTGATTTTTGGCCCAGCTACAAGAACTTAGAAGGTGGGAGAAAAGTATTAATTTTTTTTCTTCGCACCCGCACTCTTCCTCAAAATGCTCCAGGATCTGGACTCAACCTGAAAATCCCCCAAATCCCCTTCGCAGAGAACATGAAAACCTTGCCCTTTCTCCCCGTTCTTTCTCCCCAAAGCTTCTCCCCTCTCTGGCTTCCAGTTCCCGTTTCCGCCCCCTCACTCTTCCCCGGAACGCGGAGGCCGGCCCCCTCACCTTCTTCTTGGGAGCACTGATCTCCTCCTCATCCTCCTCGTCTCCCACGCCCTGGAAGGTCACTTTCCGCTTGGGCATGGCTGGACAGAGGGTCTTCCCCAAACCGCAGAGGGAAAGGTGCAGATTAGGGGACCCGCCGCGAGAGGGCCCTCAGCGCAGCAATCCCTCCCAGGGGCGCACAGAGCCAGGCTGTGGGGGAAGCAGCACAGAATCGGGGGCCGGAAGGGGAGTTGGCGGCAAGAGGCCCGGGGACCCGGGATGGCATCCAAGAGAGCTGCTGGGGCCGGGTCCGAGAGGCGGGCACGCGGAGGGGCTCCCACCCGCACCCCCACCCGAGACGCGCGGGGACCCGCTTCCTCCCGTGACCACCCCATTCCCGGCTCCCGCAGTCCAGTCGCGACGCGGGTCCGCGGGCTGACACCCGCTCCTCCACCCCAGCTCCCTCGGGCCCGTGAGGTCCGAGCGGACCCGGGACTTAGCGCCCTGGTCCCCCGGCTCCTCCCTGCGCCGAACCCCCAACTCCGCCGCGGGCTGGCCCCCACCTGCCGCGGGCTGTGTGCACAGCTCAGAGCAGCGGCAGAGCCGCGGGACTCGAGCAGCCCCCGGCGCGCTCACCTAAGGACCCTGGGCCGCCCGGCAAGGAAAGGGGGAGCTGCTCGCGCCTGGGCTACATCCGGGGCACAGGCCTTCACCCGGAAGGGAACTGTGGAGAGCGCCCGGAAGACCGGAAGTGGCTTCGCTCCAGGGAGGACCAACCGACGCCGCGGGCGGGAGTTCGGGCGGAGCGGGGAAGTCACACCCCCTCAAGAAGTGACGTGAGCTGTTTGGGGCAATAGACGAGAAGAGGGGACCTGTGAGCTGCTAGACCCCCATCGAGCGAGAGGGATGGCCCCACGCAGTGTCCATTCCCTCCCACCACAGCAGTAGAGGCTCTGGGGAGACGGGGGCGCCAGGTCACGGTGGGGAGCAAATCCGAGCAGGGCCGCTGGGGTCCTGCCCTCGTTACTCTTTCTAGGGTTGCGTCACCTTTCCTCAGGGCTGGCCAAGGGCCCTGCGCCCCTCACCATCCCAGCTCGGCGGCCAGTCATCGGCCCTCTCCTCTCCTTGGGGTGAGCCCGGCTCTCCCGCTGGCCCGCCTTGAGGCCCCGGACCGGACCGGGGTGGGGCACTCTCCGGACCCAGCTCCCTTTAGGACGCAGGGGAAGTAATTTACCCACCCCTCTCCCGAGGCTGATTCTAGGCTTCCGAAGTGGAAAGGGCCCCGCTACGGGAGAGGTGGCCCTGGCACCGGCTCCCAGCACCGAGGCCAGAGCCCCTCTCCAACCACAGCCGCAGAATGAAGACCCTCTTAGCAAACAGGCCCCAGCCCAGGGGCCCTTCCCGGGTTCTGTAATCTGGGCCGAGGCAGGGCTGGGTGGGGAAGTGGACCTCGGTGCTGCAGGGACACTCGGAGCCTGAGTCCCACTAAGCTGAGGCTGTGCCCAGGAAGAGCCTACTGGAACCATAGGAGGCAGCATGGGGGTCCCCAGGGGAACAAGATGGACCACCCCTCCTCCTGCCGGTTTCCTCCAGAAACTGCACCCAAAGTCTGTGCTCAGTTTCTCCCACAGGTACAGGTTCCAGACCTGGAGGGCATCATGCTAATGAAGGACCAAAATACCAGCTACCAGGGTCCCTGGTTCATCTTCCGGGGAAGCCTCCTCTTCTACCAGGAGCACCAGGCAGACATGCCCCTGGGCCTCATCCTGTTGGAGAACTGCCAGGTGGAGCCATGCCTTGGGCCACAGAACCCTATGCCTTTACCATCCTGACCCCTGAGGTAGAGGGCACAGAAATTGGGCAGGCCTACAGGCTGGAAGCAGAAAACCAGGAGCGGGGAACCTGGCTGTGGGTTCAGGCTGGGGTGAGCTGGAGGCAGCTGGCTGTGCTACCACCCCCACCCGCTAGAGGCTCAGTACCAAAGCTGTGCCAAGCAGCTGGCCAAGAGCCCAGCTCACCCCCACATCCCTCCATCCCCCCCAGGACTGTGGCCTTCTAGCCACCCTCAGTCCCCACTCCAGGTTCCAGGAGTTGCATGAGCGCTTTGGGAAGGAGATCCGGGCACTGCAGCTGATACGTAGAGGGCTTCCGGAGGCCAGTGACAATGGAGACAGCCGATCCCAGGCAAAGATGGAGCAGGAGCTCAACCATTGTTTGTTGATGAATGGCTGAGAGATGGACCAAAGGCCAAGGGGTACCTACCTGCCAAGACCAGCCAACTGCTTCAATAGATCCTGGCTCACTCATCACTTGCTCCCTCCCTCTCTAGTCCTTATTCTAACCCCCTTCATCAAATAACAAGGCAGGAGACATGCCCAGGTATAATAGCAGGTTCTTTTCTGGTTCCTCAAAGCGCCACATGGGGTGGGGGCAGATACAGAAGAGAATGTAAACATTGGGTTCCACCCCCTGGAGCTCAAGAAAATACCCCTTTTCCAAATAGGGGCTGGAGGGTTAGAAGGAAATAAGGTGAAAGATGGGGGTCCTGGTGAGGCAAAGCAGGGGACGCATGAGAATACAGAGAAAGGTGGGTGAATAGGAAGGAGAGCAGGAGGGTGGTGGGTGAGGAAGTGGGGGACATTTCCTGTTCCAGTGCATGTCCCCTTAAATAGAGTGCAAGAACATTGTGGAAGGAGAACCAAAGGACAGAAGATTGAGCGAACACCCCCACCCCTGGGCCAACCAGGTCCTTTATACATAATTACAACACAGAGATGTCCAGAAGTCAAGGAGGCCCCCGGCCAGGAAGTGGGGGAGGCAGGCAGGACTGGAGAGAAAAAGGAACCTAGCTCCACTTCATGGGTACGGGGAGCAACTGGAGTGTAAGAATCTGAAAACTGACTCCCCCATTGCCAAGAGTCACCCCTTTGGTGACAAAAGGCCAATCAGGACAGCACCTGGAAAGGGACCCCAAAGGGAACTGGGGCAAGAGTGAGAGAGACCCCAGCCCAACCTAACTGGAGGTGAGGGGCTCCAGACTTGTTCAACAGCTACCTCGGAGAAATGCAGCTGCCCCATGCACTGACTGTCCTGGCTGTAGGGATCAGCAGCTGGCAAGGAGATGGGAATCAAGCCACTTTCCTCAGAAAGAGGGACAGCTTACTGAGGGGTCTGCTCTTGGCTGAGGGAAGAGGGGGCCATGCAGTCCAGCCCCAGAGCAGAGGTCAGAAGTAAGCGTCCTGCCGGGTCTCAGAGGCCGAGGACCTGTCCCCACCATCCTGGGGGGCTGGAGGCCCATCTGCCTTTCGACGCAGTGACAGCTTCCTGCCTTGAGCCTTCTTCTCCTGCTTTTGCCGTTCCTTCTCTTGCTTCTGCCGCTCCTTCTCCCGCTTCTCCCGCTCTTTCTCTTGTTTCTGTCGCTCTTTCTCCCGTTCCTTTTCTTGTTTCTCACGTTCCTTTTCCTGTTTCTGCCTTCCTCTCC